ACGTTCTATGGGTTTAGCCGGGCTCCCTTAGTAACTGCCGTCAGCAAGATTGAACCACAAAATCGAAATGCCTGCGCCTCTTTTCATCGGCAATAGTTGGTGCAGTGGACGGGTTCTTGTAAAATATTTGAACATGACTTCAGAGTTATACACGTGTAGGCGGTTAATGGCGTTAACGTGGTAAAACAAATTTTATGGTAGTTTGAGATCCAGCAGTTCTTCACAGGACTGCGATACCATTATTAAAAGTGTTCCACTCAGAACTTCTGTTATTTCCATACGCCAGGAGGTTACTAGTCTTGGAGGCTATTTTGACCATAGTATGCTGGACAACGCAGCCAATTTCTTAAACGCGATGCCGAAATTGGGACTAGGCCCGTGGCGGGTGCGGTCATTTGTTGGAGTAGCGTCATTCGAAGAGAAGATATGAGCTACTTCTGCGTCGCATAATTACACTGCGACGGTGTGACAGAGAGAGCCTGAGGTAAACAGCAAGGTATAAAGCTGCGTTAAGCTTGGGGACAGTTACTGAACCCCTCCATCAGACGGGGCTAACGAGGAACAGCAGCCGGCAAAACAAACTAGGAGAAAACAAAGTACAAAAACATGACGGATAGTGGCAGGGGGTATTCAGACGTAGGTCTACAAACAATCATTTCGGAGGGTCAGAAACGCTTGGATGTTGCGAGCATATGGGGGTATACTTTATCGGAATCACTTCGCGGAGAGAACTATCGGGTATTTAATGGATTTGGGCGTTCGGATATTATAGCGTTTCTGACGTCAACTAGTGTTGATATCGGTGTCAGCTAGTCATCGGGCAGGAGTCTACAGTCTGCCGAGGTCACATTGGTGATATCGTATTCGTTCGAGGCAGCTGATACGGGTCCAACTGATGCGGTGGACGAGAAGTGCACCGCACTTTATAAACAACAGACCAGTAGGTAGTGCGGGGATGCGTCGAACTGCATGCAGTGTCATCTGGTGGTACGGTGAACGGTAAAATCGAAATTTGCTGACCAGGATTCAACCGATTGCCTGACCGAAACCAAATATGTAGGTTACCCCAGACAGACGTTGCGGACGAAGCCAGGACCCACCGTCATCACTGTGGACAGCATGACATCAGTTTTCAATCCCGATGATTCGCTGTCATACAGCGGTGACTTATCGGTGATGAAAGAAGTAAAAGTGGTGGTGGAATGGGGTTGTTGATAGCTAACTACATAAACCTCCAGACACTCACTCAAGCAACCTGGATAGAAACTGACAACGAAAACTGTATACATCAATTAGCAGCTGTATCTTGCGGCGTCTCCAACAAGACGCAGTAGGGATCACCCGGTTGTCACCCCTGAAGGCAAGTGGAACCGACAGCAGCCAAACATTTCGTAATATCCCTCAGCCAGATCAAGGATTGGCCACTTTTCTGCTTCCATCGCTCTGAATTGGGCGTGGAAAGTAGCACTCTTTTCGGCAAAGGATGGTTCAGCGTTCGCAATACACGGCCTAACCAACACAGCTTCTAGTGCTGGACACATTCTTTAATTGAAGTACCCGTCGCACAACCGAAGACTCGCTTTCTAACTGCCTCCTTACGGATTCGCACAATCTATAGTTCTATGAATATGGTTGTCGAACAACTGAATACGTCTCAGTCCCGCTACTCGAATAGGCCAAGTCTCACAGCCATACAGCAAAACAGCCTGCACTTTAGTCTGATTCAGGGATATACCACCTTGACGCCATAGGCATCTCAAATTATCAAACGCGACCCGAGCCTTGCAGATTCGTGCATTCACCTCATCTGTCACACTACAGTCAGAACTAATACAACTTTCAAGACACGTAAAGTGCTCCTCTCCCTGGATTGTAAGGGGCGTGTTCAGTGACTGCACGTCCAAGAGCATGACCTTACACTTTGTGGGCGCAAAGTGCATACCAAAGGATGGGATGACTCTGGTTAGTTCATCCAAAAACATCTGCGCTTCTCCTCTTCGAAGAAGAGAACGAAATCGTCTGCGCACTCCCGATCGACAAGGTTTTCTTCACAGGCTATTTGAACACCAGGGTTTTGGAGGCATTCCAGCGTTCATCTTATGATTTCATCGCTCACGAAGTCAAAAAGGAATGGATAGAGCAAGTATCCCTGACGGATACCGCTTCGTGTACGGAAGCTTTTGGAGAGCTCGTCGTATACTCACACATGGAATTCTGAGAATACAACGAACGTATTATGTTTCCAAACTTCCGGGGCATTCCTTTGTGGGAAGCATGTGAAGAAAAACACACCGGTCAACCGAGTCGAATGCGCCTCGAAAATTCGGGAATACTAGAAATGTGGGTCGTTTGTACGTATGTTGTTGTTCTAGCACCTAACGGAGCGTGAATGTTTGGTCGACGCAACCCCTACCATTCCGGGATCCCGCCTGCTGCTCTCGAGGCAGTATTTCGCGAGCCACTATATGACGACGAAGCACAAGCTGGCAGTCTCGTTACAGCCGGTGTTAAGCTGATTCCTTGTGGTTACCACACTCACTACGAGCCCCTTTTTTGAAGGTGAGCACTATCGCCGACTCTCCCCAGTTGGCCGGAGCAGTTCGTTTTTTCCCAAATGCAGACAAACAAATCTGGCGACGGCTGACTAAGGATTTCACTGCCGTCTTTGAACAACTCGGGTCTGAAGTCATCCGAAGCAGAAGCTCGGTGGCGCTTGAGAGGACGTATGCAGTCATAAACCATCGAGGCTGCAGGGGATTTCACGAATCCAGTACCCGTTCAAATATGAGTTCTTCAAGAAAGATTCACTAACCCCTCGTGATAACTACAGCACTCTTGTTTTGGTCTTATCCAAGCTTTTTACAGGTCCCTTGACTCCATCTGCATCAACGAGAGTACTACCATTGAAAGGAAGAAGGCCTTCGCTGCAGAGTTATTCATTGGAACACCTCAACTGAGCAGTTACAAACTATTGGACAGGGAAGCAAAACTCATTTGCATCTTTTTTCGTAAAGGAAATTACTCCCAAGGTTGATGAGCACTCTTCGACAGCCCATAACCGGTTTCATCCTTCTTGGGGCTCATCAGGTAGGCGCAGTCCCGGAGTTTCCGTCAACCGTATGTTCTACTTGAACCCAAATTGGACTGTTTTCGAGGAATACACTCATTCGCAAATCAATTTGTTTTTCACGAAAGACTCAACTGAATCTCTCGTTTGTGATATTCTACGACTGAATGTGCTGCACACAGGCCGCCTCATATTTCAGTTGGCACGATATTCAAGATACCGCAGTAAATTTTCATAAAGGAAACTACTCACAAGGTTGCTGAAACTCTTTGACAGCCCACGACCGGTTTCGCCCTTCTTGGGGCTCATCAGGTGGGCGCAGTCCCCAAGTTTCCGTCAACAGCTGGTGTAGTCTATCCTCCGTGTCATGCACTCATACTGACCCTTGGTTATCGCATCACTCATGCAAATCGACCTCGCCGGCTATACCCTAGAAGTTCACTGGTATGGTTTTCTAACCCACTGATTCGTGAGTTACCTGTTTGGGGCACACCATGGGATACAGAGGGGGGGCGAGGTTGTACACCGTATATCGTTCATTGCCCGCGATAAGATACTAATGTGACAAGGCCTCTTTTGACTCTGCAATGTGAGTTGCTATTGATTTTATTTCCTTGATATTACTAGTTGAGTATCTGAAGAGATGAGCCTCTGGAAAATACCAAAGTATGGAGGTCTTAAACCAAAAGTGATCGTTTGAGCTCAATAGGGACTAATCTCCGGCAGGGCCCTCAGTCACCGAGCCGAGAGTTTGTCTCTACTAGTGACGTGTTAGGTGTTTTTCCACAGTTTATGGTGAGTTCTTTCTGTTGTTCACTTGAACGGTCAAATGGGGTTGGCTGATCGGCTTTGGCACTTCATATATTATCAGCACATATGGCCATTTCGTTTTTATTTCAGCCTTCTTGCAGACGAGCCAATTGACTGGAAATGCCCCGACTGGCGGCAATATACATTGGATCACCCAATGTTACAGAATCACGTGAAGAGCTTGTCAGCTAAAGGTTTGAAGGATCCTTGGATTAGGTTAGTCATGCTACCTTACATCTCACTTTTTCAATCCATATTCACGTTACGAATGTGGCGAGGTGACTTAGTGGTTAGAGCGCGAATTTGCTGACCGGAAGGTCCTCGACTTCCATTGTCTAGGCTTGGGCAACCTGGCAGTATTCCAACCCTCGTGCAACCTTCGGATGGCATGGCGGTTAGGGCACAGAGAGGGTGTTACAGCTGAACGAAATATCATAGCTTCATCTCATTTCTGAGATGTTCTAGTCTTTTCATATACCTTCCAGACGATAGATCACAGGCGAAGTAAACGCACGAATTCCGAAGGGTCAGAATTGCGTGGCTTCAAAAGGGTATCTCACTGGGTTTTAAAGGACGCATGTACCAAACTAACTTATGGGCTGTACTGCTGTACGGCTGCAAGACTTGGCCAATTTGGGTGGTCTTTGACCACCAATGTCTCATAAGTATAGTTGAAATCGACTGAAAGCAGCGAATTCGCTGTGAGGTGATTAGGTGATGGATTTCTGCTGGGACAGAGGGTATTTCTCTCAAAGAATGCCCCCACAACTGCAAGCTAAGCGGCTGGACAGAATTTGACTTGAAAGATGGGAATGGTGTTCGGAAATGTTTGAGCGCTGTTGGTGCTGTTTGCCTTGTTGGACAGGGTCCACATGACCCACCCTGTACTTGGCTAGAGACACAGAGATATGACAGCAAATCGATGTCAACGAAACCCATACTGTCAGCTTCTATCCAGACTGAGTGAGTGTTGTAGGTGTAGGTCTTTCAGGTGTTTGGTAGACTATCCCTAAGTACCCCTCCATGCAGCATTTGTTTTTTTTCGATTGTAGGGCTTCATTGAAATAGTTTAAAGCGGTTGTGCGGCAGGGAATTACCGGTTTTCTCATTTGGTGTTGCTACCGATGATTATGTTGAATCGAACTGCCTAGGTAGTGTGTTTGTCTCTGTGTGATAGGCTCAAGTGATGTTTGTACAGAACTTTGGATCAGTCTCACTGTTGGTGTCTTCGATACGATGCTAAGGTGAGTTCAACTTGTTTCTTCCTTATGGTGTTGGCACCCTATTCCTAATTGTTTTCCATAGGGACGTAGTGCTCTCAATAATGAGCCCCTTTCTTCCCCTTTTCACTCTACTGGGGCGTTTTTCCACTCGGTTGTATGGCAGTTAATTAACGGCATTTATTGCTGATGTATTGCCTTCGATGACGAAGATGATTGTTCCTGTGTAGGCCTGGACAGCTGAGCAGTACATCAGCCCTCGTGCTCCCTTCCTGTTACATGACAGTCATGTGCTGAACGACTTTATTTTTCAAAATAAATTTCTTGGTATTTCATTCGCAGGATATATTTAATGAGCATCAGACTATGGAAAATTATGTGGCTTTCGGCATACCATCCACTCTAATGTTTTCAACAAATACGGAGTTTTCATATACGGTCTTTTTACTACATACGTATTATTAGTCCTCTATACTAGTTTTCTTTTGTCATCCATATCACGTCAGTTGGGGTCTCGAAGAGGTTGAGAATGTCCCAGGACAAATATTCCGGTAGCACGCGAGTGATGTTTTCCTTGGGGGCATGAGATGGTCAGATTTGCAGAGACAGAATAAGTTCACTTCACCATGGGACTTCTCCGGGCTGTTTGCTGAAGTAGAAAAAAATTGTTCAGGTGTAACACACTTTCAGTGCCTTGCTGCCATGCCACCCGAATGAAGCACGAGGGCTGGGATACTGCCAGGTTGCCCAAGCCCAGACAGGAGAAGTCGAGATGAAGGGGTCGGTTTTGAACCATGGACCTTCTGGTCAGTAAATTCGCGCTATAACCACTGGGCCATCTCGCCTGATCTTCGCCGAACAATTACACTCTGGTACAGTTCTCTCTCATATGAGAGGCAGTCATGGGGGCACCAAAACGCTTACATACAACTGCATGTTTAAAAAATTAGCTGCCTACCAGCAGAGAAACGAGATGTGATCACGGCCTCCAAGAACCTTCTGCGGGGTGACCAACTGGTTCGCTCCGACGAAGAACTTACCGAAATAGAAATATTTCGGTACGCTCTTGGGTGAATTTGCATTGTCAAGTGGCTGCACCTCAATTACAGAGTCGATCCCTTTATGTACTGATGACAGATAGCAGTATTTATCACAGTTATGGAAAAGCAAAGCCACATACTTGACTGTCATACACCTTTTTGAGCTGACACAAATAGATTGTATCCTCATCCAAGCGCCTTAGTTCGCTAAGAGGATGAATTTACAGCTTGTCCGAGAGTTGCAACTCTATTAATTTTTGCTCCTTTAAAGTGCTGGTGTTAGTTTTCCAGAAAACCCTTCAAACATCATCTCGCAACATTTATTTTTGGCATTTCCTGACTTCACTGGAAGATAACGCCTTCACTCCTGCAGATAAAGGAACAAAACGTTCCGAGTCCTCAAGATTGACAGTGCCTCACGGCTTCAACGTACATAGCCAACATTGTTCTACAAGTTATTAGTAATTCTTTGTGATATCTTCCGCAGTTCTGTTTGAGGTTTATTTTGGTCCGTTGAGATTTTCAGGATCATCAATGCATTACGAACGTTTCAAGTTAGCACATTTTCCAGCGTAATGTTACGGCGACTTCTCGTCTCCCAGCTGGCAAGATGGTAGGTGGATGGAATGAGCATTATGGCATTATGCGCGTTCAAAAGTGCAAATTAAGTCCAACGGACTTGGATAGATCGCTGTTCCCAAGGGATCGATGATAAATGTGATTTCGGCGGACAAGGTAGCTCAATACCAATTGGTTAGACAGTTTTTCGAGCGAATTTTTCAAGAATGGAATTATGAAGCGAAACGGTTGGATGAAAATAATGCCCGCTAGCGACTACCATTTGTTACCTAAATTTAACACGAACTAAGGGGAATTATCGCAAAAGTCGGGTGGATGATCTTCGCCGAACAATTACACTCTGGTACAGTTCTCTCTCATATGAGAGGCAGTCATGGGGGCACCAAAACGCTTACATACAACTGCATGTTTAAAAAATTAGCTGCCTACCAGCAGAGAAACGAGATGTGATCACGGCCTCCAAGAACCTTCTGCGGGGTGACCAACTGGTTCGCTCCGACGAAGAACTTACCGAAATAGAAATATTTCGGTACGCTCTTGGGTGAATTTGCATTGTCAAGTGGCTGCACCTCAATTACAGAGTCGATCCCTTTATGTACTGATGACAGATAGCAGTATTTATCACAGTTATGGAAAAGCAAAGCCACATACTTGACTGTCATACACCTTTTTGAGCTGACACAAATAGATTGTATCCTCATCCAAGCGCCTTAGTTCGCTAAGAGGATGAATTTACAGCTTGTCCGAGAGTTGCAACTCTATTAATTTTTGCTCCTTTAAAGTGCTGGTGTTAGTTTTCCAGAAAACCCTTCAAACATCATCTCGCAACATTTATTTTTGGCATTTCCTGACTTCACTGGAAGATAACGCCTTCACTCCTGCAGATAAAGGAACAAAACGTTCCGAGTCCTCAAGATTGACAGTGCCTCACGGCTTCAACGTACATAGCCAACATTGTTCTACAAGTTATTAGTAATTCTTTGTGATATCTTCCGCAGTTCTGTTTGAGGTTTATTTTGGTCCGTTGAGATTTTCAGGATCATCAATGCATTACGAACGTTTCAAGTTAGCACATTTTCCAGCGTAATGTTACGGCGACTTCTCGTCTCCCAGCTGGCAAGATGGTAGGTGGATGGAATGAGCATTATGGCATTATGCGCGTTCAAAAGTGCAAATTAAGTCCAACGGACTTGGATAGATCGCTGTTCCCAAGGGATCGATGATAAATGTGATTTCGGCGGACAAGGTAGCTCAATACCAATTGGTTAGACAGTTTTTCGAGCGAATTTTTCAAGAATGGAATTATGAAGCGAAACGGTTGGATGAAAATAATGCCCGCTAGCGACTACCATTTGTTACCTAAATTTAACACGAACTAAGGGGAATTATCGCAAAAGTCGGGTGGAACGGACATTTAAGATTACTGTTTCTACTTTTTTGGCACTCACAGTCATTACATATTCTGTTTTTCACAATTTTTTGGGTGTTCGATTTAGAGACTCGTCTCCACACACAGTCGGGCTATTTAACGTCATCCAACCTGGAAAGGGGGAAAAATCATGAAAACAAAAGACAGTTTTTCGAGCGAATTTTTCAAGAATGGAATTATGAAGCGAAACGGTTGGATGAAAATAATGCCCGCTAGCGACTACCATTTGTTACCTAAATTTAACACGAACTAAGGGGAATTATCGCAAAAGTCGGGTGGAACGGACATTTAAGATTACTGTTTCTACTTTTTTGGCACTCACAGTCATTACATATTCTGTTTTTCACAATTTTTTGGGTGTTCGATTTAGAGACTCGTCTCCACACACAGTCGGGCTATTTAACGTCATCCAACCTGGAAAGAGGGAATAATCATGAACACAACACTGATAAGCTGATCCTAATATCTGTAGAATTGCACAGTTCGATCCTAGATGTCAAATGTTCAGCGATCAATCAGTCAGCTGGTGAGAACCCAGTTCGTCCATGAAAATGAACGACGTTTTCTGTCCCTCCTCTGAAGCCATTATGTAGTCAGACATGTCAGATTCTGTCACGATTGTTGATAATTCAAGTGATGACATTTGATAGCCTGGTTGACCTCACTTAGTAGAAATGAGGGATGTAGAATTGACCTTATGCCCCAAGTGCCGGTTCGTGTTCGCCTGGTCCACGACCCAGAACCTTTACACAGAAGCAAAAAAGTGTGTTCAGCTCTTACTGTCTTGGTAACTTAAGTCAACAGAGTTGCACCTCTCTTAATGGACCATCTGTCTTGATAACGTAAGTCATTGGAGTTGCGCTTCTCTTAATGACCATCTTTCCTTAGCTGCAAAGAGAAAAGAATGCGTTCTTCGCTTGCACATTGATTGTAAGTAGCAATCCCATTGTAAAAGCCCCGATTACTTCAATTGGATTTTCTTGTAAATGAAGAGGACACGGTGTTATCAAAGTCTAATTGACTTAAGACGTTAGTACACCCAAAGTGGAAGATGTTCCATTGGTTCTACAATGTGGTACTTATGTCCAACTTAGCTTCGTGCGGACGTAGCAGTGGCAGACTGCATGTTTATTTTTTGGAGAACATTACGTTTTGTCAGTTGACTAGAAGCGAGTTAGGGCAATCGAAGAGCCATTATGTCTGGCTCATTGTTTTTGTGGTTTCAAATTAGGTGTTGAATTTGATCCAATGGCTAATGGCCAGCGGTTTTGGAAGTGGCAAAGATGAATCAAACCGAACCTGTGATCTCAGTCGAATTGGTGGTAAAATGACACGATGAGACGGCTCGCTTGCCATCACGCAGGTTTTATTAACCACCGGAAGAGAATGTCACGTTTCTCACTCCTAATGGTGTAA